TAATTAGGTATTATTATAGTAACTGTTACTTATAAATACATGTTGGGTCCTATAGCCCCATAACACTTTCTACTCTCGTCTCCTGATCAGGAAGATGCCACCCTGGAGTACCAGTTGCTTGCTGGATTACCGTAGCAGAGGCACAGGCCTGTTGGTGCGGGCTTTCACAGTGGGCATTGTGTGCAATTTTTGCATTGTAATGTGTATTGTTTAAAAGCCACTAAAATTGTAAATAGTTACACCCTTGAGTATATGGGTATGGTTAAAATGCTTTTCTAAAAAATTCTGCAATCTGTTGTAAATAACAGTAAAGTGAAGAGTAGTTATGGTGCTAGGAAATATGTAGCATTTCATAGTCTTGTTTACCGCCTTCAGACTTAAGCAATATACTTTTTACTAGCCGTATCCTGAGGGACACGGCTAGCTTTTGTGAGACTTCGTCTGGAGGTGGGGGTGTTATGGGGCTATAGGACCCAACATGTATTTATAAGTAACAGTTACTATAATAATACCTAATTATATTGAATTGATGGGGACTTTGCTCTAAATGTCAGAAGGACTGATCAACCTTATGACTGAGAGGCAGCTGGGTCAAGCCTATTTTTCTCAATATAATAGGTTATACCATAGACACATAAACACACAATTTAAATAAGTAGTTTATAAAGTTGTATTTCTTTTTGTAAAAGTAAAATTAAGAGGTGGTAGAATTGTGGTAACTGGAGAATTGTGCTTGGCAACAGTCTTTTGTTTTGGTGGGAGGAGCTTAGGTAGGCTTCTCTCTCTCTCCCTCTCACTGACTCTCTCTCTCTCTGTGGCTGACCTTCAACCTGGCAGGATCTCTGGGTCCTTCTCCTATCTTTTGGGGCATCATGTGTGCTCCAGGGGTGAGTTTTTATAATTTAAGTTTTGGCCACCATACCCAGGGTGACTAAAGTGTGTCAAAACACTGGTTAGCCCAGAGTTATGTCAAGGAGAGAGAAGGAAGAGTGTTGGAACACACCATGTGGAGCACAGGATGGAGTGTGTAGATTTGTTTTTGAAAATGGAGGCTGTGATTGTATATTCTGTACATATCTATTGAGAATACAGTTATATTTTTATAGTAGTAGTTTACATAACCTGTGAAGAGGGCTGGTGAAAGGGTATCAGAGACACTCAAGATGATCAGCCATGATGTAAGTATTACCCCTAGACAAATAAGGCCATTAAGTAAAAGCTACCCCCACACTAGAACATGTAGTGAGAACCTTACCATCCAAGAAATAAGGGAAACCAACGTAACAGGGCGTGACACCAATTTCCACAAAAATGACAATTTATGCATGTGGAGGCCCGTTTGTTTGACTGACCACAGACTACACACAGCTTCATAATGATTTGAATGATTGATTTACTGCAATTCTACTAGCAACCTCTTGAATATTCTATTAATAACCTGCTAGGTAGTGCACAACGAAACCGTTTGAAACCAGTCCAGGGTTTGGACCAGTCAAGGGTTCGGACCAGTCAAGGTTCGGACCAGTCAAGGGTTTCGGACCAGTCTATCTGATCTGATCAGTGGGTCACTTATTTAAACCATACTGGTCGGTGATTTGAGCTAACACATGAAGGATCTACTGGAAATTATCTACCCGAGTAATATGTGATTTGATTGATACAAAAGTATAACTTGCGTGTTGAAAGAGCCGGTGACTGCTGGCACTCCTACAGTGACGAACGGTCGACCTCCACCCTTGTTTATCAATCGCTGTATCTAGCTTCTCTATTTTTTTTTTTTTTCGTCTCCACCACAATAAATGCTATATTATCACTATAGTTGACTGTGCAAATTTTGGAGGAAGGACGCTTTTTCTGTAGTAATAATTGCTTCTCGTTGTGTATATTGCGACCGCTGGTAACTACAGGTTATATGAAATTCACAGTATACGTCTGGTATTTCAAGAAAAAAGAAACTAATGAAAGTCACTCCACTCCACTAAGTACCATTATAATACTGGTTAGTTGCTACTACAACACTGTATTCTGCTATTCACTGGTATCACTAGATTATATGCGAGTACACTAGCAAGCCAGGAAGATTATTAAAACAGCTGACCACTGTGGTAAGATTCTGGCGACTTCTGGCACCTGCCTCTATAGGCAGGTTCTAGCACGTAAGAGCGACCGTGAAAACACCAGAAAGCCCGGAGCACAACGAGGCACGCTGACACTGTCACGCTACCCCTATGGTCACTCAGTAAGTCAGTCAAGTCATTCGGTAAGTCAGTCAAGTCACTCAGTAAGTCAGTCAAGTCACTCAGTAAGTCAGTCAAGTCATTCAGTAAGTCAGTCAAGTCACTCAGTAAGTCAGTCACTCAGTAAGTCGGTCATTCAGTAAGTCAGTCACAAACTCATGTTAACCTCTTTTTCTGTGTACAAAGTAACACTTCAGTTACAGCTACAGGTTATCTCTTGTCTAATATCTTTGTTAATTCTAAGACTTAAGTGCTTATACCTCTTCATGCTACTTTCAGCAACACTAGTATGGCTATTGGGTGTCATGATTGCTTGGCAGATACAAGATATAGTAATTAAAATATCATACAATTGACAAACACAGCTGCCTTGTAGCAGAGAAAGACTGGACACCTATGAATTACGAATGCTGGGATGGTGGGGGTGGTGTCGGGGAGTGGTAATGGATGGCTCCCCGGCTGCTCTACAACAAGGTGGACGCTTGAGCAAAAGAGAATTTTTTTTCCTTCCCACAAACTGAACCATGTTAAATTAATTATACAACGTGTTACATAAAATTGTGCAGCAATTCTTCAATTATTATAATAACGATAGAGCTTCCGTTCCATAAATTAATAATAATAATAATAATAATAATAATAACAATATAATACTATTAAAATAATATATTATTATTATTATTATTTATTATTATTATTATTATTATTATTATAATATTATTATTATATTATTATTAATATTATTTATTATTATATTATTATTATTATTATTATTAATATTATATTATTATTATAATGATAGAGCTTCAGTTCCCTAAATTAATAATAATAATAATAAAATAATAATAATAATAATAATAAATAATAATATATAATGATAGAGCTTCACTTCCCTAAATTAAAAACAGAAATAATAATAATAAGAAGAATAATAATTGTGGAAAATAATTCCCAAAATTATGCTGTATAATGTAAATATACCTGATTAGCACATTACTATTGCTCTAAAGTGTATTTTAAGAGAATCGAGAATCGAGAGAGAAGCTCTGTGCCTGCGCTGAGGAGCAGGGGGGAGACGCCATTGTTTTTTTGAATGTGGTACAAGCATGCTAATGTAACGTGTAAATTTTTGTTGCTCTAGGGGTTTTATTGGGCTTAAAACCTCTCAAATAGGAGCCGAAATTGTTGAATTTGCAGTCCTGCAGAACGTGAGCATTAAGCAGATGGACAGGACAGCTCCAGGAACCTCAGCTAAGTTGTCTAATTTGTGTAGGAATTCTGGCCAGTATTCTCTTCATAAATTTAGGCAGAGAGGGGGGCTTAGCATGACACACTGTAATCTCCAGACTAATTGGTGGGTCTTATGATTATAAATTCACCTTCTGTTGCATAAATGTGTATATGTAATCATTTATTAATTTTAACATACAGTCCACAAATTTATATTAATGTTTACCATAATTCCTGGTAATGTATATTTCATTTGAAATTAATATAGGTCCAGAGTGACTTGTGGAGAGAAAGATTATGGTAGGTATCGAATGGGGACATTTTTTGCGACCTAGGTGTCCTAAAATTCCTACTTGTCTCTGTAACCTTGATAAAGAATAATTATCTTTGTTACCATTTACTGGTATGTACCTTATGAGTTACATCCAGGTAAATTAATTTGGAGGGGCACAGGGAGGAACTGCCCACTGAGGAGCTGCAGGAACTTGAGAAGGAGGAGCACAAGACTAAGATGGATGTACTCTCATCAGGCTCGGAAGAGGAGATAGAGGAAGCCCCTGCTTCATTAATCAAGGAAATCTTTGCCAAATGGATGGACATCAAAAACTTTGCAGAGAAGTACCACCCCAACAAAGCCCAAACAAAACGTAATAGCATTGTCTGGAATGACCAGACAGTGTCACATTTCCGAAACATCCTGAGGAGAAGGCAGAAGCAATGTTCTTCGGACAGATTTTTAGTAAAAGTCAAACCTGGTGAGCTTCAGCCAGGCCCAAATAGGGAAAAGAGACAGAAAAGAGAAGGGGACTCTCCTTCCAAACTACATCTCCTCCTCCTCCCTTCTCAGCACTATCCTAGTAGGCACTCGACTCTTTTCAGCAAAGTAAAGTGAGGTTAAATTTGCATTTATTACATCTAATTCTTTGTATTATGTGTGTATTTTAGTATTAAGCAGTGTTTAAATTACATATTTTCATATTAAGCAGTGTTTAAATTATTTTATACAACCCCATCAATGTATAATATGCCAATAACAAAAGGATTTTTTTCATGGGAACGGATTAATCGTTTTCCCTATATTTCTTATGGGAAAATTTGTTTGGTATATGTCCTGTTTGGTATAAGTCCAAGGGCCTGGAATAGATTAAGGATGTATACCAAGGTACCACTGTATGTAGATTTCATAAAAATATCCATTATTTTTCTGGCACAGAAAGTGCAAGATTCTCTGCAGCTTTCCATAGTTAGTGTTCTTCTTTTCACCTTGTATGTTCTTTATTTTTCCATTGTATTTATTAAGCAATGCCTAAATGCCATTGGTGCATATGTTGTACTTCCTTACAAATTTGGTGTTAATCTTTTATGGGGAATGTAATTTCAATTACATAATGAAAGTCTGGGAAGTTGGTCTTCATCAAATGTAATTTTGCTAAGTGACAGGTTTTGGTGGAATTCATCAATCATGAAGTGTGGGGTGCCTGTACCCTTGCAGCATTATATCACAGCACCTCTGTATCCCTATTTTCCTCACAGCCAGTGCTCTGAAAGTGATTGATGGTCAGTTCAGTTGGGAGGGAGAGAATGGAGAGGCCAGCTGGTCTCTGAAACATGTGGAACTGGAGGTGCAAGTGGGGCAGCTGGTAGCAGTGGTGGGACCTGTTGGGGCTGGCAAGAGCTCCCTACTTTCTGCTATGTTGGGAGAAATGAAAAAAAATGCTGGCAGAGTTGTCGTTAATGTAAGTCTGGAAAATATTGGATTAAGAAAGTTATTGTTCTATTGTTTATTTAGGTCTCCTTGGAAGGGACACCTTATGCTTTATCATTGTAGTTCAAATATTTTTTTGTCTTCTATAATACTTAGATGTTTTCTTTTTTTGTACAATATCACAAGACTGTCATTTGGTATTGACTTTAATCATTAAATGCTCACATATGTTCATAAATCAAGGCTTCTTATGAAAATTAATACTTGCTTCTTATTGAAATTAGACACTTTTTGTGGCTATTTTCAGAACCAAAGTTTTGCTAATCATAGAGTAGAGTTCTGCATCTTAAGATGAATAAACAGAACATCGTCAAACTTACCACTGTACACACATCTCCTATTACTAGTTAACTGTCTGGAAAATCTCAAATGAAACTACAGGCACAAAAATGTTCTAAAGCTTATTTTTGTAGGTTTTATTCTTTATAACACATTTCTATAAATGGTGTATCTTAATCAGATGTGATCAAATTTTATTTTATTACTTTTATTAACACAAGCACCTAAAGTCAGTTCCTGATCAGCCGGGCTGTGGCTCGTACGTTGGTTTGCGTGCAGCCAGCAGCAACAGCCTGGTTGATCAGGCTCTGATCCACCAGGAGGCCTGGTCACAGACCGGGCCGCGGGGGCGTTGACCCCCGGAACTCTCTCCAGGTAAACTCCAGGTAAACATCGGCCGATTCCCACCAAGGCAGGGTGGCCCGAAAAAGAAAAACTTTCATCATCATTCACTCCATCACTGTCTTATCAGTGGGGTGCTTTACACTACAGTTTATAAAACTGCAACATTAGCACCCCTCCTTCAGAGTGCAGGCACTGTACTTTCCATCTCCAGGACTCAAGTCCGGCCTGCCGGTTTCCCTGAATCCCTTCATAAATGTTACTTTGCTCACACTCCAACAGCACGTCAAGTATTAAAAACCATTTGTCTCCATTCACTCCTATCAAATACGCTCACATATGCTTGCTGGAAATCCAAGCCCCTCGCACACAAAACCTCCTTTACCCCCTCCCTTCAACCTTTCCTAGGCTGACCCCTACCCCGCCTTCCCTCCACTACAGATTTATACACTCTTGAAGTCATTCTGTTTCATTCCATTCTCTCTATATGTCCAAACCACCTCAACAACCTTTCCTCAGCCCTCTGGACAACAGTTTTGGCAATCCTGCACCTCCTCCTAACTTCCAAACTACGAATTCTCTGCATTATATTCACACCACACATTGCCCTCAGACATGACATCTCCAGTGCCTCCAGCCTTCTCTTCGCTGCAACATTCATCACCCATGAGAGTAAAACTATACTCTCATACATTCCCCTCTTTGCTTCCAAGGACAAAGTTCTTTGTCTCCAAAACTCCTAAGTGCACTGCTCACCCTTTTCCCTCATCAATTCTTGATTCAGCTCATCTTTCATAGACCCATCCACTGACACGTCCACTCCCAAATATTTAATACATTCACCTCCTCCATACTCTCTCCCTCCAATCTGATATCCAATCTTTCATCACCTAATCTTTTTGTTATCCTCATAACCCTACTCTTTCCTATATTCCTTTTATTTTTTTTCTTTTACATACCCAAACCAAATTCTTTCTCCCAAACCCTCTGCAACTTCTCTTCAAAAATCTCCCAAAAGCACAGTGTCATCAGCAAAAAGCAACTGTGACAACTCCCATTTTTGTGTTTGATTCTTTATCTTTTAACTCCACACCTCTTCCCAAAGAGCCCCGCATTCACTTCTCTTACAATCCCATCTATAAATATATTGAACAACCATGTGGACATCACACATCCTTGTCTGAGGCTTACTTTTACTGGGAAATAATCTCCCTCTTTCCTACATACTCTAACCTGAGCCTCACTATCCTCGTAAAAACTCTTCACTGCTTTCAGTAATCTACCTCCTATACCCCGGGTCTCCAGGTATACCATACCCTGCAACATTGCCCCCCTATCCACCCTGTCATATGCCTTTTCAAATCCATAAAATATTCCATACAGTGGACCCCGGTTAACGATTTTAATCCGTGAAAAGAGGGGTAATTGTTATGCGAAATAATCGTTATGCGAATGAATTTTCCCCATAAGAAATAATGGAAATCAAATTAATCCGTGAAAGACACCCAAAAGTATGAAAAAAAAAATTTACCACATGAAATATACATTTTCCCACACACAAAGAGAAGGATACATGCACAATAGTAGAGTAGTACATGCACAGTATATTTTGTGCATGTACTAGTTACTAAATGAAAAATAAAGACACTTTACCTTTATTGAAGATGCAGCAATGACTGATTTAGACACTGTGCCTGGGATGCCTTTTCCTCCTGAGTACTGTAGGTCCGTTTGGCATTTTCTTCCAGAACATGCCTTATCACACTGGTATGCCACTACGATTCTTAAATCTCTCAAACCAACCTTTGCTGGCTTTAAATTCACCAATATGAGCACTAGTTCCAGGGATTTTTTCCCTGTTCACCTGGGGTTAGTCGACTTGTGTGGGTTGCATCCTGGGAGACCCAAAATTAAGGACCCAATGGAAATAAGTTAACAGTCTTCGATGTCACTGACTTTTTTGGGTTATCCTGGTGGCAAATCCTCTGGGGTTAATTGGTTTCTTGGTATTTCAATAAGCCACACCAACAACGGTGCTACAGCAGCAGCAGCAGCAGCAGCTGACAGTGCAGCAGCAGCAGCACTGTACCACCAATAGTAGCGATGGTTGATTTGGGTTTTATTATAAAACCTGGCCAGCCGGAGACATGCACCCCAAACTTTCATACTTATCAATAAATCTTTTTCTTAAATCTCTATTGTAATTCTCACTTTTATTGCTGTAGGGTTTGGCACTAGAACTTTCTTGGGCCCGATGGTCACTTATTTCCAGAAAAAGCACCGAAAACACTGTTTTAAACGAAATATTCCGTTGTAGCTTGATGTTACCGGAGGCTGGGGTAAACAAGCCACCGGGGAACATGTGAGCGTGGCTCAGGCCGCACATTGGACGCGTCTCGGACGAAAATCGGTAAGCGGGTTTTTAAGCGGTATGTGAGGCAAAATTTTTGCAATTAAAGTAAGCGGTATGCGAAATAATCGCTATGTGATGCCATCGTTATGCGGGGGTCCACTGTATATTCATTTTTGACGTGCTGTTGGAGTGTGAGCAAAGTAACATTTATGAAGGGATTCAGGGAAACTGGCAGGCCGGACTTGAGTCCTGGAGATGGGAAGTACAGTGCCTGCACTCTGAAGGAGGGGTGTTAATGTTGCAGTTTAAAAACTGTAGTGTAAAGCACCCTTCTGGCAAGACAGTGATGGAGTGAATGATGGTGAAAGTTTTTCTTTTTCGGGCCACCCTGCCTTGGTGGGAATTGGCCAGTGTGATAATAAAAAAAAAAATAAAAAAAATATTCATTCTAAGAATTTTTTAAACATTATTTTATTTGGTATTGCAATTGTGTTAATTTTTTTAATAAATGTACTTCTCATAAAACCAACTTGCTAACACCTTTTCTATCTACTGTGCACCTATCCCCACTTTGGGCTCACACCTTTACCACTTTCAGGGAACAGTGGCGTACGTGTCACAGCAGGCATGGTTACAAAATGCTTCTCTTAGAGACAATATCATCTGGGGTCAGCCCTTTGAGTTAAAGCGATACAGGCAGGTGGTGAAGGCATGTGGTCTTCAACCTGACATTGACATGCTGCCAGCTGGGGATTTGACAGAGATTGGCGAGAAGGTGAGTTTGAGAACATCTCTTAGTTCTCTATTTTTTAAATCTGATTTGCTGCATTTGAGGTGTCAGACACTTTAGCAGCAAGAATGGGTTATGAATCATATGAGCAGTACCCAAATACATCAGCCTGTCGTCTTAACCCCTTAACTGTCCAAACTTAGATCTACGTTCTCTCGCTCAGTGCTACGAATATTTTGAAAAAAAAGAAAGTCTTTTTTTTTTTTTTTAGTAAAGAGGACATTTTTTACATGTAATAACCTAAAAAAAAAAATTTAGAGTCAGTACTTATGGAGATATAAGGCCGCAAAGTCGGTGCTTGTCGCTTGCCGACGGCAACATGAAGTGCTGCCGCTTGCAAAAGTGTTGCCGATATACCTTTTTTCTCATTTTATAATTTATTATAATTTTTATGCTCTGATAATTACAATTTGTAATAGTTCTTGTGATTTCATAGCCAGTCTTTGTTCTGACACTAATATTAAGTGCTGAAAACTAAAACGGGAGAATAATGATAAAATTCACCAGTGCTTCGCACATGATGGAAAAATTCTAGTAAGGAAAACAAATGTAGGCTGTGTGTACTATATTACAAATGAAAATGAACTAGCAAACTGCCTTTGAGATGCAAACCTTTCAGAGTCTGACTAACATTAGTGACCAAATCTTTATACATACTACGTTAGTGTATGTTATTATTCCATTATTGAACTAATCCCTGTACTATCACTTCCCCAATAATATTTACTATTTCACTGTCTCATGTTTCTCACACAATTCCTTGTGTGCCTCAAATTGTGTAATCTTCCCAGATTAACCATTTACAGTTTATTATTGTTAATAAGAAATTTACTCTTTATTAATATCTGTATTATCAATTATTCCCATTTATAGCACTGTTATAATTCCCTTATTATCATTAACCCAATTAACCCAATTTACCCTTTACTCCCAATTTACAAATATAAAATTAGTGTATGTTCCTATTACATTATTGTGCAATTCCTTGTACCATCTTTTATTAGCTAGTACCAACTACCTCATATACTATTTTGTGCTATTAATTGCTCATATTTTATGCTATAAAGCAAATCTTACTCCCAGATTAATTTTATATCATAGTTATTATCGATCCATTTACTTTTGTTTACCACTACTTAATTTAGTCCCTTTATGTATTTTCTCCTGAAATAGTTCTCTACATACCAATACCTTGTACTGCCCTTTATTCAGCAATTACTATACTGATAAATTAGACACATGTGCAACTCTTGGGTATCTTTATTGAGGAAACGTTTCGCCACACAGTGGCTTCATCAGTCCATACGTAGGAGAAACTTGAAGAACAGTAGGAGAATGAGGTAATCAGTCCCTCAACCTTGAGTCGATGTGTTCAGTCCATCAAGATTGATGGACTGAACACATCGACTCAAGGTTGAGGGACTGATTACCTCATTCTCCTACTGTTCTTCAAGTTTCTCCTACGTATGGACTGATGAAGCCACTGTGTGGCGAAACGTTTCCTCAATAAAGATACCCAAGAGTTGCACATGTGTCTAATTTATCAACATGTCGGTTCTCTGAACCATCCATTTACAAATTACTATACTCTTAATTTTAACCCTTTCAGGGTCAACAGGCTCTCTTCCAGACTTGTTCTCAGGGTCTAAAAATTTTCAAAAACAAAAAAACAAAAAAAAAAACAATTTTTTTATGAAAAGATAGTTTTTTTTTTTTCAAATCTTATAGGAAAAACAAAAATTTTTTACCATCAATACTTACCGAGATATGGAAGCATGAAGTTGACAGAAAATGACTGGCATACGGTAACATCGCCGACTGCCGGTCAACCCGTTTTAGTTTTAGTTTTTTGGTATTATTTTCTATTATTTTTTCATTTTTTTTTTCAAGTAACTTTTATGGCCTGTGAGACCAATATGAGCACTATTTTGTAATTTTTTCTCTTTATTTACTACATAATAACTGCACAAACACTGTTGTCATTATATTGTTTATAATTGTTGTTTACAAACACAAACAATATGAAATGTTGTTTATTACTATTTTTCTATATTTACATACACATATACAGTCACAGGAAATGTTTCTAGAAGTCTGCAGCCTGTGGCACTCTTTGAAACATGGTGTCATGCACAGTGGTGTTTTACACTCCTCAAAACATAAAAGGGAGTGTCTCTGCATTGTTATGGGCGTTTTTTTGTATGTGCACAGACGTAACACCTCTTCTGAGCCTTTTTCTTGAAAGCAGTAGCAGACAGTTTTATTAGGAAGTGATCACCATGCTTCAGACGAAAAGGTAGTTGTTGATAATTTAGTGGGCATTTTTTCTATTGTAGGTGTTGTTCCTTGGTACTTGAATACTATTTGTCTGATGACAGACAAGCAAAATTCGCCATATGGTGGTTTATTTCTGGTCCTCATCTTATAATAATATAAGCATTGAGCATGGAAATGTCCAGAAGATGAAAAAAGAGTTTTATGTACCACTTATAACTCTTGCGGACACAATCAGCAAACCCAATCTGCATGTCACATTTGTCCACTGAGCGCATATTGAGGGTGTAATCAATCACAGCTGCAGGTTTTAGAATGGGTTCATTGCTCTCTCTATGCTGCCTGCCAGTGTTTGTCATTTCGTTAGGGTGAACTTATGACAACAGTGTGACATCTCGTTTGTCATGCCACCGAAATGCCATGATGTCATTGGCAGGAAATGCCTGCACCTCACCTCTACGAGGGCCAGCGTCAAACCTGGGCATGTGTTTACGATTTGCACACACTGTGCCACACACATCTGTCATGTTCACTCACAAAAAATCACTGAGTGAGGGGCTTGTGTACCAGTTATCAGTATATAGTATATGCCCCTTACCAAGGTATAGTTCTATCGTTGTTCTAACCACATCACCAGAGATGCCCAATAACTTCCTGGTATTTTGCAATGTATAACTTCCAGTGTACACAATAATATCCAATACAAGACCACTGTAGCAATCACAAAGCACAAACAACTTTATACCAAAGTGTTTCCTCTTGCTTGGTATGTACTGCTTGAAAGAGTGTCTTCCTTTGAACAGAATCAAAGACTCGTCAATTACAAGCAATTACACATTGAATTTCTCTTTCAGATACACAAACACATTCTTAACCCTTCATCGCGCAAGGGGTCCGAAAATTTGAAATTCGAACTGAACTCCCTATGGTGGATAGAGTAACTCAATACAAGGTCACTGATCCCATATAAATTGATTTCTGATGGTTAGTTTTCGAGCAATTGCCAATCTCCGAAGACCGAAAATATTAGGCCGCCCCCGACAAAGTGATTAAAAAATTTTATGTTGCAAACTTGCAATTGTTAATAAAACACACCAAAACAATTTTTTAAATTTAATATACAAACAGACAATATAAAAAACATAAATGGAACTTGTATCAAAACATTTTTAATTGTTACAAAAATAAAAAAAGGAAGCAAATATCAACAATGCCAAATTGCAAAGTGATGCAAGTTTCAATCCTATATTCCTGAGATTCATTTGGAAGACCAATGATTCTATATTGCTAATTGGCAAGATGGAAGTCTGTGAAACAATTTCTATCAGTCTTTATGCACAGATTTACTTGCATACACTACAGACGAATGACGATGTTACCGTTTTTTTCGAGGTGCTGCAATACTTGCAAGTAAACGGCCTTTGCCCTGCCATTGGGAAGTGCATTAGAGTAATGTCTTTCCTAAACACTGTCATCAGGCATTTCTGTACATGTTCCCCTCCCAGGTTTCACTATGCCAACACCATTGGAAGTACATGGTGAATTAGTTGGTGAAGGTCTTGGAGTTGTTCTTAGGCTGCTCCCTCTAAGGTTTTGTCCTTTAGACCTTGCAATTTCAGAGATAGAATTCCTGAAATACTTCAGTTGCATACACTTTTGCTTTATTGCTCGAGAATCACGGCAAATAAAGCAGCCATGCATTCACAACAGCAAGATCAATAATATAGGCAAATAGCCGCATGTACCAACGTTTTGATTTCATTGGTGTTTTGTAGAGATGCACCAACATGTTGCTTTTGTCAATACCTCCCATGTTTGCATTATAGTTCTTGATGACTGCAGGGCACGATATTTTCTCTTTCCTCTTTGTACCCTTGTTATATCTCTCAACAAGACTCATGGGCTCGACCCCAATATCAGTTGTCACTAAAGTCACAACTTTGGTGTCCTTCCATCGTACAACAAGGACACCATCATTGTTGTTGAAGCAAAAATTGCCCCTGACCACACTGTTTTTTTCCATTTGTTTGATAGGCACCAGATGTGGCTTACCACATCTATTGTCACGTACTGTTCCAGTGTATCTGCAGTTATACTTATCTCTTAGTAGCTTGACCAAAGGCATACTTGAAAAGAAATTGTCAGCATAGATTGCTGATGTGTTTGTCTTGTTCATAGTTTGTGCAAGTACCAGAACAATCTTTGTACTTATTGGAAGTTTAGATTCTTCCTGTGGCAGCTGTATGGGATGTGTGTCAAAAGTTGTTGTGCCTTGATACATGAGTATATCATGTATGAGTCCATCTTGACTTGCACGACAAAAAAGTTTGAAACCCCACTTATCTGGTTTTGTTTTGATGTACTGCCTTAGGTTTCCAGCAGTTTTACCCTTGAAACCAACCATGACTTCATCAATAGATTGCTTGGGTGTAGCTGGAATTTTCAAGCAAGCATTAGTTAGTTCAGTGTAAAGAGGCCTTACTTTGTAGAATCTGTCATTATCCTTTTTTGTGTTGTCATTGAAATGAATATGACTTCTAAGGTACCTAAACCTCTTAGACGCCATGCTATCTGCAACCTGTGGGCTCCTAAAAGCAGCTTTCCAATAGTCTTCGAGGGATGGTAGTGGAGCAATACCCATGAACAACAAAATACCTATGAACCTCATGATCTCTTCAGAATCTGTTGAAAAAGTATTATTTACGTCTTGT